TTCCAGTTTCCATCACCTTTCATACCTCCTTTCTACACACAGATAACGTTTTCAGCCAGCCTCATTTTAAAAAGCAGGCTTCTTTTTAAGCTCTGTTGTGCTGTTCTGGGTGTTGTTTTTTGTTGCTTGCTTTTTTGTGCCATTTAATAACATGAGTATTTCCTACTTGCATGGTCCTGCTGGCTGAGCTAGCCCACAGAGGTGATTTATGGCAACCTGCTTTTACAACATGCTAACTACAAACCTCCCATGCTTTGGCCATCTTTGCTGTGTAAGCGTTCCTACATCTTGCTATGATTTATGGATGGCTATAAAGACTTCTGCTTTCTTGGTTTTCATGCAACGCATCCTCATGCAACTGTGTATTACTTAACATTATTTCTGGATCACACAGATGTCATTGCAAAAAAGCAATAAAAAAAAGGTATTTCCCTCAGAGCTGAATGTCATATCAAAGTTGCTGTGCTTCTCACTAAGACGAAGCAAACTCAAGAAGCAGCAATGGGAGATTTCCTTCTGCAGAAATGAAACAACAATTCTTAGCACAAAGCTAAAGATATTTGATTGCCCAAGGAGAAATATGTTGTCTTTGCTGCCATGCTGTGTTCCACCCACTGAATTCAGCACTGGGAAACACTTTGTCAAGTCAGTCAGGGCTATTTTCAGTCTGCAAGTGAAACCTCTGCTGGAAGAAAGATGCACTGACTCTCAGCAATTGGAGTTACAATTATCTACAGATTTCCCAATTTTTATTTATTTTTTTTAATGCTACACAAACATAAGCCCATTCCTTCCCATAATTTAACATAAAACTCTACCTGAGAGCTGGCAGGTGCCTCCTCACAGTGATTTGGTGCTATCCAACAGCAGGAAAGCCCTGACAAGGCTTCCTGCTCAGGACTAATGACTGATAGCAGTGAAAGATGACAAGTTTGAACAACCTCTGCATTCAGCGATCACCCTCTCATGTACTTACAGTTATCACTGAGAGGAAGCATTGTACTTATAAGTTTTATCTTCTCTTTAATTATATTTTTTAGCATGTAAGGAAGCATGTGAAAGCTTTATGGATGCATTCAAGTCTGTTCCAGTAATGACTCTTGAAATATTTTTGAGATAATCTTAACATTTTTACTATCATGTCACATCATTGTGATCATTATTGCTAAAAACTCCCTCACACTTTGCTCCGTTATACTCTTTAATACAAACAAGCTGCAAGATCACAGGCACTACCTGCCACGAATACGTATCAATTAGCATCCAGTTAAGACAACCGCTGGCTGTTCCCTTTCAATCATGAGGATAGGCAGCAAAACCCAAATCCACAAAGGTCATTTGCATCCCCTGACTCTCTGTCGTACACATTAGCATGCTGCTCCGCTAGCCCGACTGCTTTCACTGAAATGAAAAGTTGCTGTCCCAATGATTTACAACTCCAGTTTTCTTCTTTTGTGCATTTCCCACTCTGCTCCCTCCCTTCAAAGGCTCCTTTTCTACATCCTGAATTTGTTGCTGAGAAGCACTGCCATCAAGCCCTTCGGTCCAAACATCAGTGCAGCAATTCTCACTAGAATTTATCTTTTCCTGCAATTCCCTATTGCAGCACGTGGTTAAAAAGTCTGCTGATGTCAGTTCTTACTGTTCTGCAAATGTAGTCAAAGTAACATCGTATGAACGCTCAAGATGAATCTTTAGCACGTTTTAATTGCTAAAAGTCAAGGAGTTTCCAGTTTTAGACAACAGAATAATTAGAAAGAACAACAGTGAATGTAGACTTTTGATTTCCAGATACTAAGTCTGTTGGATATTATTCTGCACACTGGGTCATGTGGCCACTGCCTGCTTTAGGAAGCATCAGAAAATGAGAGTCCACATTTCAAAAAGCAGATTCCCTGACTTTTCTCAAGCAAATTTCTCCACAGCCCATTGTAGTTCATATAATATTTCACTTAAATCATGTAAGTAGGAAACATGACTCAAATGGCACAGTACATAATTATGTGAGATATCTGCAGGATCACCAACTGGGATCACAGCATAATACCACATTCTCCTTACAGGAGGTGACAGGCAGCATCATTGAAGCACATATTGAGACAACAGTGCTCTCTCTTTGCTGTTAGTTTTACACTGCTCTACTCTGCCAGTAATAAACAGGCAATAAATCATATTAATGCTGAATCTCTTCTCACGATGGTGATCACGGATGACCTCACCTCACCTCAACCCTGAGCCAGCCTTTTTTTGTTATTTTCTGCCCCTGATCTTTCAAGGATCAGGAGTGTGAGAGCAGTGTGGTGGAGTTCAGTTAGCCATCAGTGTGAAACCACCACACCGTGCAGTCAGTGTAAAAAGGAAATGTCAATGGACTTGTGCAGCAACACAAGACTGGGCCTCCTCTCTGTGTTCCACATATGTTTCAATGGTCATGGAATGTCAGAGAACAAGAATATTTCCACTCAGGCATTTTAAATTAAATGAAGCCAGTTTCAAATGCAACCATAATTAAATTTATGGGACTAGAAGAACGTGAAGGAGTTGGAGATGCTTCAGCAGGTACATATTTCTTATTTGTCAGCACAACAAATTCTGCTTGGGATACTAAAATGGAGTTGGGCTCTTCCCACCTTCAGCATCAGCAGTAAAAAGCCAAACTAGATGCTAAAGATCAATTGCCCAACATGCCTATCCTCTGTGAGTGCGGTACTGATACAACTGATCAAGACTTCAAAGGCAATTCTGAAGACAGTGTGCATAAAGGAATATAATTTTGCTCATCCTTTTGGCTGTATTGGCTTCTGGAAGTGAGAAGGAATAGAAGTCTAAAAGTTGGGGATTTAAGCTCTCATTAAAAGATAACATTAGAATCAAAAATACATTGAGATCAAATCTATTCACATCATTAAAAGTCTGCATTAGCATCATTTTGCAGATTACATTACCATTAAACATCCAGCAGAAGGTTAATCTGCATTTATGATTATGTCTTGAGTTAGAAGCAGGTTACACAAAACACTTCATATGCTGGAAGAAACAACTGCACTCACTCAGATGAGCTGGGTCTCTTAACAAGACCTTTCCTTGGAGCTCCTGATTAATCAGGGCAGTTTGGGAAAAAAAAATCAATCAGAGAAACAGAGACATCACTGAAGTCTGGAAGAACAACTCAAGCATTTTACTTACCTGAGACACCTGAGTTCCATTCGTAATTGGAAAAAAAGTCATACTTCACTAAAATGGCTTATTGAACCTTCAAAATATGCACTGTTTACTATTTTGCTTATGGCTTATTTCCTTTTGGCACATTTATCAAGTGGATTAACAGAATAAATGTAAAACAAAATAGCCAGAGTTAGGTAAGGATGGAAGGGAAGAATCATAGAATTGCTCAGGTTGGAAAAGACCTTAAAGATCATCAAGTCCAATTGCAACTGAGCTGTACTACCGTACCACTAACAACCCTCTGCTGAATGTGTAATTTAACTTATCATAACTAGTGCAGAATTTAGGAATTGCTCTGGTACAAAAATTGCAGATATTTAACACCACTACATCGTGACAACTAATAATGTAGCACATCATTACAGTAGGACACGCAAAGAAGCTTTTTTAGCTTCCTCAACTTTTGTAAATCTGCACTCTCAGTCCAACAGTGCAAGAACCTAATTCATCATCAGTGTAACATGCTGATTCAATACCACACGTTCTCGATTGGAAAACATGCTTACATCTAACCTATGAAATTATTAAGTTTTTATATACATGTTTATCTTCTTGCTGCTTGCTTTAATTCAACTATTTTTATCTAGTGAATGTTCTTCAAAGGCTTCAAGTCTACAGAGCTCATGTAATCTGTACCCTGTTGGGGCTGGCAGCAGTAAATCATCAATTTTATTTGCAGGAGGCTGTAACTAAACCTTGCCAGATGTAAATCTTTTTGTATTCCTGCTTGCTGTTTCAGCTCCAAGCGATTCTTGTTTCTCAGCGCTCGCATCATGGAAGCTGGATAGTTCCAAGAAAATTTAGTAAGCCTACAGTCACCGACTGCAAGGCCTATTATACAGCTCTGCAATTATTCAAGCTAATACTGAGCAAATGCCATGAGCAGGCTCCACAGGCAAATTTGGAGTGTAAACAGAATGTGTGATTGAAACAGAACAGCACACAGAAGTTGCAGCCTCATCAATGTAAGTAGCGACTGCAGTAACAAAGCTGAAATATGGGCATCAATAAGACCTGAGTACGTGCAAAAGAATAAGATGGTAGAATGGTAAAGCCTATGACCAACAGACCTCGCTGTGTTATTTTTTTTTTCCCCTTTCTTTCTTTATAAATGAGTCTGCAAGACATGCTCTGTTGTGGCAGTGGAAGATACCATTCTCTGACAGCGGCAATGGAAGATACCTTCTAGGAAAAGCAAGCACATCCAGCCACCTTCTGTACTCAACCCCCTAAAATTAATGATGGTTGCAGTCCAACCTCAGCTGGCTGGGCGGCATATAGGAACCCAGATCTGTGTCTGATTAAAACCTCCCCGTTCCCATCAGGTAAGGAGCTCAAACATCGATTCCCTCTAAGCCGTGATTTTCCTCCATCTCAAGTTGGAATACTCCATGCAAGTCTGTGCACGTATTCCTGTTATGGTGGCAGATACTCTCACTGTAGTTTTCCATCCTATAGTGGACATTATACATCCCAACCTTTCTCGTGGATTACCAGATCTTAGCACAGTGCCATTTCACACAGAGGACTGCAAAAAGGTAACAAGCACCTGAACAACACCAAAGCAGTGCAGTACTGATGGAGCTAGCAGTCGTTCCTCATGCAGCACTCAATACATCTTGAGCATACAGAATGGCTATAAAGGAGGAATTACAAGCCATCTTTTCTAAGCAATTAGTACAGCTGATGATTTTGCTGATCAGCCAGCTGAGACCACCGCAAAACCAACAATTCCTTTGGCCTGACCCATTTCTGTGTGCTCTGGATTTCCTTACCTCAAGTGAGCTAGAGTTTTACTAAGAGTCTTCAGCTCCTTTCCTGTTTCTCTAGATGAGGTCAGCCTTTTCACTGATTCCAGCGGATCAGGCTGAAAGTGATCAAGTTGAGAATTAATATTAAGCTTTTAAGAAGAGCTTAGCACAGAGAAGGTACATGCAGTCTCACAGTTCAGCTTTAATCACAGTTTTCTGAGATAACCATCATCTGGGAGAGTATTATGAGATTCATGAGCACGTAAACAAACCTTATATGATATGGCATTATATGATATTGCCCTTGAACACCTCCAGGAACGGGGCACCCACAGCCTCTCTGGGCAGCTGTTCCAGCACCTCACCACTCTCTTGGGCATAAGAGTGTTTGAACAGCTTTTGGTCATTGGCTGACTTTGGGTTTGACAGAAGTCTTACGAGCAGTGAAGAGCCTGAGAGGGTTATGAAACCAAAACTGGAAGAAGAGACTTTTCGATTATCTAGGCTAAGGGAACGACTGCTGTGATTCTTATGCATCAAACTACAAAAAGCACACACAAGAGAGAAATCTCCTACAAGTTCTAGTCCAGAAAAATGTTCAGACACGAAACAAGTTATTGACAAAAAAAAAAAAAAAAAAAAAAAAAAAAAAAGGGCAAAGAAAAAAAAAGCAGAAAAGGAATAGAAAGAGCTTTGCAGATATAGCTCTCTTTTTGGAGCACAGAGTGCAATGTATCCACTCTTTTCATTCTAACTTTTTAATTTAATTTTTTAGGAGTGTACAAACCAGGTTCATGATTTTACACAAGGGAACTGAAATCATCTCCTTTAGGGCATTGTTCAAAGTGCTGCAACATTTCTTCCTCTGAACAACTATGCATCCAAATTTATGGGAGATGAAAGCTTGCATTTGCTGTGGAACTGCCCCTGCCTTAGAAGGACCCTTGGGACTCCCAGAGAACAGCTGCATCCGTTTCATAGAATTATGACCACATGCTGTGCACATGCAGTGTTTTTGCACGTGCTGGTGAAGCCAACAAAACATGCAGCTGAGGCAGAGTTCAGTGTGCAAAAAGTGCATGGCTGAACTGCCATTCATTGGGAAGAGTAACACCAGTGTGCACAGACTGAGGTGCAAGCTGAGGTGTTCCTTGGGACAAGCCGGTGCATTTCCAGTAAAGGAAAGTCCTACAGCCTTGAGCTTTTGAGATATAAGTTGTGCAGTATTGGTCAATGTACACCACAAATCACAACGTTTTATTTTAAAAGTCATTTTGAATGCATTAGATGTTCTGTGCTAAGCTGTTACATCCTTTAAGGTCAGTCTTCTATGACGAATGGAGTGACACCGCTAAACTGAATTTTCTGAGCATTCTTTTTACCAAATTACACTATAAACTTGTCTCACTCATCAGCAATAATTTTATGAGATAAAACCTATGATATATCAGCAGAAAGGCTGGTTCCTATGTATAGCAGAGCTTACAAACAGCAACCACTTGTATAGACTCAAAGCATGATGCTTGTATGTTGGCTTCTTTAACTCCATGCTGAATCAAAGCCGCATCAGAAATGAAACTGCACACTCTAACCTTTGGATTGGCAGAGCTCTCATTAGCAGTAACCTCAGCCACTTCTCTCTGCGGTCTTTCCTGCACGTCTTTTTTCACAGGATCCTAAAAATGAACAAAAACGTGTCGCCTTGTGTATAAATGCAAGTTAGACAGAGAGAAGCAGATCACCATTTTAAAAACCAAGTGGTGCAAGCAACTTTTCCTACAGAGATGCAAACTAAATCAAAGAATTAAGCAAGTCTGATGCAGAAACACTTGAAACATCACTAACTCTGGCACTCAAACAGATTCTCATGTGAAGCACCTGCAGAAAAAACTACCGTGCAAAATGCATCCATGCTTTCTAAATCACTGCACTTGAATGTTGTTTTTTTTTTCTATTAAAAAAAAACCCTCTTCTCATGGAAGGCTATTATCTACCATGTCTAACATAAAAAGAAAATCCAATTTCCAAAACAGGAATAAGAAATTACTTACCTGTAATTGCTCTTCCCTGAAGATACGCGCTGTGATGGATCAGTATTCGTGGGTCTGTGCTTTCACTCACCATGAAGGCACAGACTCATGAAAAGCCCTGAAGTCAAACAATCTCATTTTTAGTTCTCCTTCAACCAGCACTTTATTCAAGTGGAAGGAAGATATATTTCCTCCTATTGAAATCATATATATACACACACATATTTATATGTAGATTAATGAAGAACTTCAGATCACTCCGCAGCCTATGGTACTCGGGCTAAAAGGGTATGAAAATAGCAATTCCTTCCCGCAGTAGTTTCAGATCAAAGAGCTCATTTATTGATCCCAAGCAAAGCAAAGCAGGAGGCCCTGGGAAGCTGCATCCATATAGCTAGGGCAGAGCTGATGTGGAACAAAGACTGAAAGGCACAGCGCAGCAAATGTGGAGCTGTAAAGCCTTGAAATATCTGGAAGTTTTAAAAGTTCTTAAGAGCAAATCATTTCGCTTGTTAGAATCTTGATTCTAGAAGGCACAAAATGTTTTCCAAATCTATGTTCCAATGTAACATGCCAACAGAATGAAAGCAGAAAGCATAAGGAGCAGAGCTCTTCACTCGCTAGAAAGCTGTGCACACCAGAGCTCCAAAGTAACGACTGAGGGCAGACCGTGAGCAAATAACAGAATAAAAAATAAGCAGAAATGATGCCAAGAGCAAAGCAGCTGGAACGGAAAAAAGATTTTCTGCAATGTGTACAGATGAAATAATGAAGTGTCAAAGACGAATGCGTGTGGAGGCTCTGCTGTCTCATGTGACTGGGGAGCAATGGAACAAGGTGGGTTAGCAGCAGGGACAGATGGCAAGCCAACATTGCTTGGGAGTACACGTCTCACTTGCAGAGGAATACCAAGGTACCTGAGCTGCTTCAGTGTTTGAAGAAAATTCGTTCACATGATGTGTGAGAAAGGAATCATTTTAACTTCTGAGCAGGCTCCTGCATCTCACCCATAGGAAATGCAGAATTTCCAGCCTGCTTTGCTCCTGACTCTTCTCCCCAGCAGAAACAGCAACATGTTGACCATGGCCAGCTACCATTGTTTTTACAGCTGGTGATACCTTGACCGATATGATTCAATCAACTAAGACATCTCAGAATAACTTACTGCTTGAGGAGAGGAAGAGCGTTGGAATGCAGCCCTAAAGTTTCAATTGCTTGTAAGCACCAGTAAGCTGACTGCATAGTACAGAGTACAGGCTGTGGAGCACGAGGAGAAAAAATTTCCCAGCATGACTCTTTCGGAGGTTTCTGGGTGTGCATAAAGAATAAATTTGTGACCAAAACTCTACAAAGTGCAACATCATCCTGCATCCTACCTCTGGTCAGTCACCCCAGCCAGTTCAAGAGGAAAGGCAAAGAAAAGAGCTGCAAATCCACCTCTCCTCAGCATGGCTGCTCAGGGAAGAAAGGAAGGGAGGTAGCACATATGTCACCCCATCCTCTCAGGTACTGGTAATGAGATTCAATCAGCCTTATCACAGATAACAGAAGGGAATCATTTCTTTTTCTACAACATTATATTTCATTACAACGCCGTGTATTGAAAAGGTGCAATCTGAGCTTAAAACAGTAACACTCCATAATGATGGAATGGTGTAGTTCCTTCTTTTTAATTTGCAGTGCAGATATAAAAAAAAGAAACAAAACTGAGGAAAAAAACATGTTGGTAAGTCTAATTTGTTAAAGTCAACAATATATTATAATGACAATCTGAAGAATCTTTGTGCAGAAGCAATAAATGGGCTTGGGTGGCTTTTTTTTAATTATTTTTTTTCTCATAGTGTTTCCAAATTTAGGTGAACTATGAGAAGTCTCCTTACTTGCCTTTAAGCCACCAAAATGCCTGTTTCACTCATCATTTCCTGCTTTCATTATAGCGAAGTAACAAAATGATGTACAACTCCATATGTAAGAAAACAACCATTTAAATTTAAACAAAAAAAAATTACTGCAAGATAATATATGAAAAACGGTCCAAAGAAAGACTGAGGAAATTAATCCAAAAGGGTTTTTTTTTTGCTAAAACGATGGAGGTGGATTTTCTTGAGCTCACACCCGGCAGCCCTAGATAAAGTCAGCTGCAGGAGTAGCGCAGTAGGTGGAGCTCGATGCCGCCCGGTTGGAGGCAAAGCCCTTCCATTGCTATCACGGTTGGCTGGATGCACACCCAAAGCTCTGCTGTTCTTGCATACCAGCTTATGCAGTGCTCTGCGTGCCCTCTCCATCTGTAGAAAGAAAACTGAAGGCTGAGGGTATTTTTGGAGGAACAAATCCTTTTGAATAGCTCGTTTCAATCACAAACGACTGCCTCCAGACACGCTAGATTTTATCCCAGCAGTTCCCAGGTACATCTACTTTCTCTTCTAATAATTATGAAGAGCAAAAATTGTTCAGCTCTAACACATCACATTCTTTCATTAAGCGCACCTTGCATTTCGCATGCTTATCTTTGCAAATGTCATTCTGAGTTTCCAGCTTTTTTCTTCAAATCCTATTGTGGAAATAGCATAGAATCATAGAATGGCTTGGGTTGGAAGAGACCTCAAGGATCACCAAGCTGCAACCCTCTGCCACAGGCAGGGCCAACTCCAGATCTGGCATTAGACCAGGCTGCCCAGGGCCCCATCCATCATGAACACCTCCAGGAATGAGGCATCCACAATTTCTCCTGTGCCAGCACTTCACTGCTCTCTTGGTAAAGAAATTCCCCCGATACCCAACCTAAATCTTCCCTCCTTCAACTTAAAACCATTTCCCCTTGTCCTGCCATTATCTACCCTTCTAAAGAGTGGACACCCCTCCTGTTTGTAGGCTCCCTTTAGGTGCTGGAAGGCTGCAATGAGCATGCTGCATATGTCATCTGCAGGAGGGGAGCTGCGGTATGCTAAGCTTGACTTTATGTTGTACGTTTTCAACTTAGAACCTGTTATATTGACAATTCCTGAAGCTTTTCTCATTTTGGTCAACTTGTTTGGTTTCTGTGTTACTGGTAAAAACAGTGATTGAAACCCCTATTGCATTCTTCTTCCTAATATCATTTATCATCGTTCCTAATATCACTAGTAGCATTATGATTACATCTGCAAGATGTGAATGTGTTCTGATGAAGGTAAACCAGCACAGCCCTCCCACAGCTACAGTTTGGTCATCCAGATGCAAGACCAACCTGATGAAATATATTTGTCATATTACAACAGCATTTAGAAGGCTCTTGTTAAGCAATATAAAGAGAGAGGACTACTGCTCTTCCTCAGGTAGCATTGTAAATGCTGATTTTTGTAGGCAGTATTCTAGCCAAGTACTCAAGGTATTTTAATTTTTTTCCCTATTTCATCTTACATTGCTGCTGCTGAACACTGACCCTTCTTGCCCTTTCACTGCAATGAGGGAACAGATATTGGGACCAAAAGAGAATTTTAAATTAAACACAAGGGACTCCTAGGCAAAGCACTTCACTAACAATATCCTGCAGAAAACCAAGACTGCTTTAAGAGGAATGTCATTTTAGTGCTTCTGCTTAGAACTACACCACAGCAAGATGCAAATATACATCAGCCTCAAAGACGAGACACCTGATTCGTTAAGGTTATGCTTTACCACATCAACAATGCAAGGCACTCTGTAGATGAGAACCTCTGCAGCCAATGTGAATGTTTGCTAAGAGCTGCAGCAGCAGCTTGCTTTCCTTGGTCTCTGGTCAGAAACGGGCCTGATATCAACAGGGAGTGATGCTTATTCCACTGCTGTACCACCGGTGGTTTTAATGAGGGATGGAGCCCCAGTCCTGTCAGCTCCCATTCTGCGCTCTAGCGAATGCATTACTGTCAATAAAGAGACATCAGAAAAATGGAAGGAGGCAGCTGAGAAGTGAGAGAGAGGTTATCTACTAGTAAAGGCATAAGAACGAAATTTAGAATAAGCAGGCTCAATTTCACATCTGTCAGAACATTCTTCTGACATCCTAAATAAAACATGTAACACCTTATCCCAGCTGGCAGGCCCTAACCCACCCCCACTTCTTTCTGACTACGATAGATTTTGGTACAAGAATCTCAGCCCACGATGCCTCTACTCCTTAGATCTGAAATGCCACAAATAACACTGCTCACTTCTTAACTTTTTTAAGTATTCAGAAAGGATACATGAGGACAGACTGCTGTTTACCTAGCAAAACTAGCTCACATAGCTCGATATTTATCCCAGTTTGCCTCAGTTTGTCACATTCTCCAGGAAAATCTTCTCTTTATTTTCTTTTCTCCAAAGAATATTCATAGAATCATAGAATGGCAATGGCTGGAAGGGACCGCAAGGATCATCGTATTTACTGAATTCTGATAAGCGTGATATATTTTGTAAAATAATTGGATCTAATTAGTATCAACTGTAACTCTATTTGCTCTACAGTTACTTTGAATGTTATATGACCTGCCATCTTTTTTTTTTTCCCCCTCCATAAAATCTTTTAATTGCAAGACGATCTGAAAAATGCATGGCCTAAATATTCTGCATTGCATCCTTACAGGTCAAGGCAAGCAAACATATGAAAAAAAAAAATCAACACAAAATAGATTGCTTCTATGACATCT